ACCTTTAAAAATGAAAATATTTATTTATATATTTTTAAGAGATATTTTTATATATTTATTAAAACACCTTTAAAATTCAAAATATTTATTTATAAAATTATCACCAAATCAAACTTATTTTTAGAGAAATAATAGAAAAGATAAAGAAGAAAAGTGAGAGAATGGAAGGGGGTTTACCACTTTACCCTCCCTCTACTACTTATGACGGAGGTCTGAACTTTTTACTCTACATGTCTCTATGATGAGGGGTGAAATTCAATTTTAAGTTTTTAACTTCATTAATCATAAAGCATTTCCCCTTTTTGCCCCCGAAAAACCCTTCTTAAGCCCCTCAACTTTTTCGTTGGAAGTGATAAGCCCCTAAACTAAAAATGAAGCGAATAAGCCCTCCAACTTCCCGTATGAAGCATATCAGTCCCTCCGTTAACTGAGCCCCTCAACGTGTAATGGCTTGCGTGGCAGTTAATCTCCATGTGGCATCCAACGTATTGATGTCCTTAATAGTTGTCGCTACAAATGTATTTCATCAATAGTCCATGTGTCCTCTTCCTCCTACAAATGTATTGATGGCCGTCCCCTTCACACTTGCTCTGCTCCTCTCGATTGCCTCTCTCACCAGCCTACCGCCCCTTCCCCCTCTGCTTCTCTCCGACGACCGATTTCATGGGTTACCTCTCTTGCAATGCAGAATCGGCGATAGCGGTGTGCGAGAATGGCTGTTACAAGATTTTCTTGGTTATCTTTGGCACTTGTCTTTGAATCTGAACTAATTTAAAGGAACCTAGGAAGATTAAAGCAGCAATGCTCATTTTGGAACCAAAGAAGTGCCTCAGAAAATTTTCTCAAATCGAACTCCAGGACCTCCCTGTTTGCCTAAAGAAAATGAATTTGGAATCTCTCATGCAACTCCAATCACCCTACCATCCTGGCTCTCGGAAGAAGACCTCAGTTACTTCGCCGTAAAATTTGACCAGAAAGGCTTCACTGGAGGGCTGAACTACTATAGAACCATGGATCTGTAAGAGACCCCAAAAATCTTTTGACAAATTTCTTGCTCTGCTTCTTTTGATTGACAGGAAATGAGGATCCCATGAGGAACGGGAGTGGGGGTAAAATCTACCTTTTGTCAAAAATCCTTACAGGATATCCCTGTCCCCACGAATAGACGAAGAGAGATTTCCTGACCCCACAGGACCCTGTTGCCATCCCTAACCATGTGTGTATGTCTCATACTCAGTCGTCATTCTATCCACACTTAAATTGCTGATGGTGTTGACTGTATTCTAGGAAGATATTGATGCTACAACATGAAATTTGGAAGAGTTGCTATAATTATTAGTTTGATTGCCTTGGACTGAATAATACTTCCTGGTTTGATTTTTTCCAAGTTTACATATATACATGGATATCATTCAAAAGTTTTAATTGCTCTTTGCCTTTTCTCAAAAAATAAAAAGTAAAATAAAATAGTATTAATTGGTCATTTTTCTGGTTCGTAGTAAATATTTTATGTTGTTTTTTTATTAAAAATTTTGGAACTTTTGTAGTGAGGATGGAGTGTTAGGCGAGAGAGGATTAGTTTGATTTGTATTTCCAAAATTGTAGTTCAATGTTTTCTCCTCAACTTTTGAGAACCCTTTCCTTTCTATTGTTTCATGAAAATCTTAGTTTTGAGATTAATTGGGTTCAAGGAGGACTGGGAGGATGATGTCATTTCCCCGTTTCACTTCATGATCTACCCTTCCTCGAAAGAGTAATACTATTTTTACTATTTACTTTTCCTCCTTTCTTTCGCTTGAATCTCTGTCTCAGCATTGTGTGACCCCGAAAATAATTCGCTCTGATACAGACAACCCGGTTGCCCATCTTACACCAGCCATGCTTTTTTGGGTACTATTTTAGTTTAATTTAAGAAAAATTGCTTCCCTCTAGGTATTTATCATGACAAGCATACAACATTGATTATAGAGTGGTACTACTCTGTCCATCACATGGAGAATGTGCACATGACATTTTACTTCCTTTATATAGAAAACTAACCTTAGTTATAAACGAGTAATTATAGTAAGACTAACTCTACTTGCAGAAAAGTAATTATGGCAAATTAACTTTAGATCTATTTACAGAAATAATCATAATTAGTTGTTTTTATCCTTTTAGAAAGATAAAAAGTAGTCTACTTATTAAGGAACAAGTCACATGGCAGTTACTTTGGAATGGGGCATGCTTTTGTTCCTTTATTTGGTTTAATTATTATCCTCTTTTTATTTTTAAGATAAAAAATGATTAGTATACCTTCTATTTCAACACACCTAACAATACTTATTAGTTCAATTATTAAATTTTTGGTTAAAACCCCATTTTGGTCCCTGAACTATTGTACAGACTCCCGATTTGGTCATTGAATTAAAAAAATCCCTGATGTAGTCTTTACTGTTTACTGATTTTACCTTAACTTGGTCCTTCCATTAAAAATCCAATGATGTATCCCGTTAACTAACGGGAAATGATGACATGTCAAAATATTATGACACATCAGCTATACACATGAAAAAAGATAACATGTCATTAAAACACATCAGATTCCAGCCAGCAAAAAAAAAAGAGTGGGGCCCACCTCTTGCCATTCAAACCCTAGAAGAGCAGAGGGCAAACACCAACAGTCGTCGCTGGCTTCTTGGAACTCAGGCGTGGGTTTAAAGAACCCATCATGCTTGGGTTCTTTGAAGGAACCCAAGCGCGGGTTTGAAGAACCTAACAGGCTTGGGTTCTTTGAAGGAACCCAGCACGCTTGGGTTCTTCGAAGGAACCCAGGCGCGGGTTCGAAGAACCTAACAGGCTTGAGTTCTTTGAAGGAACCCAAGCTTGGATTTGAAGAACCCAACACGCTTGGATTCTTCGAAGGAACCCAGGTGCAGGTTCAAAGAACCGAGCATGTGGGTTTGAAGAACCCAACAGGCTTGGGTTCTTCGAAGGAACCCAGCACGCTTGGGTTCTTCAAAGGAACCTAGGCGCGAGTTTGAAGAACCCAAGCATGGGTTTGAAGAACACAGGTGCGAGTTCATTGAACCTAGGGGCAAAAAATTAAAAAAAAATTTCTTTTTTTTTTGTGGGTTTGGTTGTTTGATGATGATGAAGAATCGATTGATGAAGATAAAGAATTGATTGATGAAAAAGGCAAGGCAAGGAAGAGGAAGGAAAAAGAAAGGGCGCCTGGTGGGTTCGATCAAGTGCTAGGTTTGTTTGCTGGAGGAAGAAGATGATGGCAAAATTGTAATTTTGATGGGTCCCACTTTTTTGTGTTGGGGCAAGAAAATGACATGTCATGTTGCCATTTCATCATTTATTCATTCGTACAACTGACGTGTCTCAAATTTTTGACATGTCATTAAAGTTCTGTGAGGTAACGGTGGGTTTTTAACGGAAGAACCAAGTTGGGGTAAAATTGGTAAACAGTAGGAACTAAATCAGCGATTTTTTTAGTTCAAGGGCCAAATCCAGGGTCTGTACAATAGTTCAAGGACTAAAATGAGGTTTTAACCTAAATTTTTCTTTTGAAAATTTTTTTACCTTGAATTCAAATGTGAAACTATTAGTTTTGTAATGATTGAACTTATGGGTGTTACTAGATGTGTTGAATTAGAAAATATATCAATCATTGTCTTTGCAAGAATTTTTCATCCAATAGAATTAAAATCATCAAAAAAAATTATCTTATCATTTAGGTCATCATTGAGAAGGTTGTCGCCCATGTCAACTCCAATTATATATATATATAAATTGGATGAATGCATTACAATAGAAATGTTAAATGTGTAAACATATATACTATTATAAATAAATAATAATATATTATAATTATAAATAGAATATCATTTTTGTAATCAATACGATCGTACTCTAACGTTATCGCAGCACATGACATTTTACTTCCTTCATGGAGAAAACTAACCTTGGTTATAGAAAAGCAACTGTAATAAGACTAACTCTAGTTACAGGAAACTAATTATAGCAAACTAACTTTAGATTATTTATAAGGGTAATTATAATTAGTTGTTTTTATCTTTTTTTGGAAAGGTAAAAAGTAACCGGCTATTAAGGAACAAGTCACAGGCAATTACTTTGTAGTGGAACATGCTTTTGTTCTTTTATCTAATTCAACTATTATTCCTCCTTTTGATTTTTAAGATTTTTACAGGCAATTACTTTGTAGTGGAACATGCTTTTGTTCTTTTATCTAATTCAACTATTATTCCTCCTTTTGATTTTTAAGATTTTTCCATCCAATAAAGTCAAAATCGTCAAAAAAAAAAAAAAAAAATCTTATCATCTAAGTTGTTATTGTGAAGGTCGTTACCCCAACTTTCCAACTATATATTTATATAAATTGGATGAATGCATTTCAACCGAAATGTTAATAAATGTGTAAACATTTATAATATTATAAATAAATAATAATCTATTATAATTATAACGACTATCATTTTTGTAATCAATGTTACTGTCCTTTTAACGTTATTACAGCCCTTAATTTTGTCTCCATCCTTGAGTAAACGAACTAAAGAATCGAGAATGTTTTAGTGATTTAGTGATTATTATCCTCTTATTAAAGACTTCTCATATTAATTTATTGATACGACATACAAGTCATACCATAACATTCAAAAAAAAAAAAAAGAAAAAAAACAAAGAATGAGCATATACAAGTACGTACTCTTCCAGCACTACTGGAAAATAAGGTATATTTAACAGAAAAGTCTGTCGAATATAGAGGTATTTCTATTGATAGACATAATCGACAGCTAAATATGTCGTATAAAATGCAATCGATAATAAGTATATTCGACAGCCAAAATTTATGTCGAATATACTAATTTAATCGATAAATATTGACTGTTGAAAATAAACACAATCGACAGAACTTCACTGACGATAAAGATTTTTTGATTTTTGAAGGTTATATTCGACAGCCATTAGCTGTCAATTAAAGCTCTATAATTGACAGCTAAT